TGATTATTAGAATTGAAAATTATTTCTTAGGTACCAAAAAAAAGGGGGCAAAAGTGAAAATTTAAATTTTCATTGGCATTGCTAGACAACTGTTTCTTTTCATTTAGTGCTAGTTTTTGCTTGTTTTTTGGAACTATTCCCGAACCAAGTTTATTAGTAATGACTAAGCCTTTGTTTCTGCCTTTTAGAAGTTAGAGGCAAGTTTTTGGGGTTATAATGAGACATAGTGCGCCAGGTTTAGGTGACCGTAGAAAAAAACTCGGGGAAATGGTGGAAATAACTCAGGGTCTAAAGAGTTTAAAGCCATGCTGGAATGGATTTATAACACAAAATACTGAGTGTGGAATTCATGTGGTGACTTTTCTCTCTTGTTTGTTTTGCAGACATGAATGGGATGGCTCGGCATCATCCACATCATCATCCCCCTCCCCACATTCAGTCGGAGATGGACAAAAGACGGCGAAATTATAAGCTTTTAGCAGATCCCATGCTGGACCACAGCAAGGAGAAAGTTTATCGCTTTGATGGAGTCAACCCACATGTAAGTTGTCAGTGTGCTGTTCTTAATGATGAAGAAGCTGAAGAGATAAATTGAAGGAGAAGAAGAGGTGTTGAATTTTTATACAAAATGGATTTGAAATTTTATGCTTTGGTAGGAATACAGGACATCACAAGACAAACGCTGCAGTGGAACTGGAACCCCACAGGGAGCATGAGGCAGGGGTAAACCTAAGGGAAACATTGAGGAGATGTGTGAGGAAAGGACATGAGAGAGATGAAGCTCACTTGGAACGAGCTAGGAAGGATAGCCGAGAATAGAGATAAATGGAAGGAGCTTGCATGTGGCCTGTACCCTGCCAGGGGTGAAAGGCTTTGATAATGATGATGAGGAGGAATACAGGCTTTACTTTTTTGGGGCACTTCTCACTCAGACAAATTAAGAGGGAACATTTTACATGATATTTTATTTTATTACAGCGCATCATTTTTTTCCACACTAACTGTTTTGCAGGATGGCAGGACCGTGGAGACCAAAGACCCGAGACCTAAGTATCAGCGGATCTGCTACAGAAGGCAGCCCTCAGACCTGCCTGTGCCTAGATGGAAGGTAATTCGCACGGCTCAGGCTAGCCAGATTGGTGTTTTTTTTAATGCCCCTAGCCTATCACAGGGATGTAAATCTTCCGGCCGACTTGCCATTTGGGCCCGAGCTTTTAACAAAAGTCTACTATAAACGATATATATATAAAATAACTAAATAGGGACTATTTGTTATAATACAGGGAAAGAAACAAATATAAGTTAGTCTCACAGTATTCTTATTTCAGTCAGTGTGTGCGCGCCGTATATATATATATTTTCCGGCTTTTTTTTTCAAAACCTGTTTACATCCCTGCTATCTACACAGTTTGGATCAGTTGCCATGCATAGCATAATTCGTATGTATACAGTAGTGGAAGTCGGATTCAACGAAGTTGTCGGGCCGGGCCTTAAATTTTGTTGAACGCGAGTGTTCGTTATGACAAAGATGAAGTTTTTGTGTAGATAATTACAAGCACTGAGCAAGTAATATGTGTATTCGACTTTCTCAATCAAAAGTAGCTTGGTTTCAGATGAGAGGCATTTTCGTTTCTTTAATACCGAAGAAAGGCTGAAAAAGTCCAGGAAAATATGCTGAACTCTAGCAAGGACACACTGCGCAAAAGGGCTGATTCGCTCAAATGCATGTCTGTGTCATTATCATTTCAAACATACTGATTGCCGAGCAAGTTATGTCGCTGAGTGAGTAGAGCCTAGCAGGCGGCGACGTTTGATTCCACAGTCCAGCACGCAATTCATTATGTAGATCTTTGTCAAGACCAGCTTATTGTAATACTGGTCAGTAGCTGGGAAAAAAAAGAATCTGGCGCGTTGGTATCTCCACTGATGTTCCACACCCGCACCGCTTCTACCCACTCCCCCCAAACACATGCACACACAGTCCCATGTGTGCTGGCCGCCCGTCCGACCCCGACTCACGCTTAAACATGTGTGCCTTGTAATGACACGTGTGTGTTGGTATAAAATGAAGCTGCTGATTGGTCGAATAAGGCAGTTCACTCTGCAAACGACTTTGTTGAATCCGAGCTTGTTCATTTATGTGTTCGTTGAATCCGAGCTGTTTGCCTTGATTTTTATGAATAAAAACCCCCCGGGGAATCCAACTTCTTTCGTTGAATCTGAGTTTGTTGAAACTGTGTTCCCCTGTAGCAAAATTTGTTCATTAGAAAATTTCCTACTGATTTTGCTATGTGTGCGTGCTAGACTTTTTAAAGAATTTGTAAGCTATCTTTGCCTATTTTTATTTACTGAACGGTACAAACTAAACTATTTTTTTATCTAGAATGTTACATAAGATTGAGTACAGTTTAATATATATATATGTATGCATGATATTTCACAGTATGACCAGTTCTACGTGGGTACCCCACCAGCTAAAGAGGTCACCTTCAGCAATCTGAATGACAACATTGGTCGTGACTTCCTGGAAAATATGGTAAAGGGCTTCGGCAAGGTGGAAGACGTCAAGATATACTATCACCCAAGGAACAGAAAACATCTTGGGATTGGAAAGGTGACTAGTGTTTCGAGGACTTACTTAACCCTATACGTACGTCCTGGGATCATTGTGTACCCCCGGGGTTGCATTCTTCATGTTTTAGAATACTTCTAGTACAAAGATCTCTTTGAAATTTTCAATTTTTATCAAAAAATCATTTTGACAGACTGCTATGCATAGCCTACGGATCGGATTAACGAGTAAATTTCCTCTTTGGAAAAGCATGACGTACGGATAGGGTTTAAACAAATCCCGGCCATGAATTTTTTATATTTAAAATATTTTTTTTGGGTCAAAATGAAAGGTGAAAGTCAAGGCT